ATGCTTCAATCGTCTTCAGGAGAATAATATCTGCAGAAATTCTTAACAGAGAAATACTTATATGTTTGGGTAAATATTGGATGGATAAACTGACCAATGCGAAGACTGCTAGTGAAAGGCTAAAACAAAAGTCATTGTTCACTGTGACAAAGGGTGGGAACGCCCAAAACAAGGGCATGGTTCTAGTGGCGTGAAAACGGTGGGAACGACCAAAACATTAATTAATAATACAATGCTCAATTGTGACCAGATCTATAACCCGGTAACCCAAAACGACGAAGTATGTCCACAAAGTTCCGACGCGTCATGGCAATGAAGCAAGAGCAAACTTACGGTACAAATTAGAGCAATTAGAAGAAAATATTCATGAATAAATTAGACATATAATAAGAAACTGAAGTTATTCAAAAAGATTTCCAAATGATCAAAACACTGGATCGGTATGCACCATAAAAGGGCTCAACCCCGAATCAACCTGGTGACTTCGGCGTCATCATTCCAGACACCCTCGCCAGTTTCCTCGACTTTGCCTCGCTAATATTAGTGGCGACAATAGTTCATTGTCTGACAGAATACGCTCATGAATAATTTAGTTACTTGTCTGTTCTTTTATCTTCCAATTAATTCTTCTGTTATATAAATTACAAGAGTCAAAAAACTTAAGAATAATTAGTACAGTATGCGTGTTGCTATTGATAAGTGTATGTTAATACAGTACCCACTTAGTATTTAGGCCAAGATCAAACATTTCTAGATATTCCTTATTAACCGATAACTGTTAGAGCATCGTTTTATAAAATTCTAATTAAAGTAGGCCTTGATTGTACACCAAAACGTTTCGATTTATTAATAGGCCTAATAATAACATATAATATATACGGTATAACATTTATAACTTTATTTACGTATGTTTTCAACTTTGAAGAGGTAATTATAATTCTGGCACGTTTGTTGTCATTTCCTCATTTTATTAAATTGAGGTTTATTACCATAAAAAAATCCAAGGACTTGCAACAATTTAGGTCACATAAAAACATCCACATTGCATCAAAGCAACAAGAACAACTAAAACAGGTTTATATGAACAAAGAGTAAGCCTATATTGTACAATTAAAAGATATCGCAGTTTAGATTATTCTATATTCAATTATGTATTGGTAAAAAAAAGAAAAAATTTTTATAAATGAGAAACATTTATTTTTTTTTTGAAAAAGGTACAAGATACCCGTATATAATTTGATAATAATGGGTTTATTCTAACACAAAAATAAATAATATTTTGGATTTATCCTCAGCAAAATTTACCGTTCTAACAAGTAACTCTTTAGTCTAAGCAGTTAAAAATAGTTAACGATAATATATGTTTAAAAATATTCATTTTATTAAGATTCAGCTCACAACATACAATGAACAATAGTAAGCAATGTGGAGGAAATCGGGTGAAATTAATATAATAAAAAAACAAACATAATATAAGTTTTTAAAAATATGTTATTGCACATATTATACAACAATACAAAATATAGGTAAAGGTAGGTAAACCAATTTGGTTTTTTAATACACTGTCGGTGGTGAAATTTGGCAAACCTAACTCATTCAAAGCGTTTGATTGCTCTTTTAATGGGATCGCATCTTTAAGTACTTCGTACCTTTCTATAGATGCTTTACTCAAGTGAGTCGTTAAGGTTGTCGTCTGGGAATCGGACCGGCACACTGATTCAGTGAATTATGTTCACACCGGTTGACTGGCCCTCAAAGTAATAAAAAATCGATCATTGACCTTATGTAACCTGATGACACTTGGAAACGTGCTCAATTCTCTCTTTTTTATCGTCAGGCTCGCTGGAGGTAAACAACTTTTCGATATGTGGTACAATTAATTTTTTAAGACACAAAAAGCATATTTGACGAAAAACAAAAACAACTTGTGAGCGGTTATTGAAATCAACAATAATATATGTTTATAAATATCTATTTTATTAAAATTCAGCTCACAACATACAATGAACAATAGTAAGCAATGTGGAGGAAATCGGGTGAAATTAATATAATAAAAAAAACAAACATAATATAAGTTTTAAAAAATATGTTATTGCACATATTATACAACAATACAAAATATAGGTAAAGGTAGGTAAACCAATTTGGTTTTTTAATACACTGTCGGTGGTGAAATTTGGCAAACCTAACTCATTCAAAGCGTTTGATTGCTCTTTTAATGGGATCGCATCTTTAAGTACTTCGTACCTTTCTATAGATGCTTTACTCAAGTGAGTCGTTAAGGTTGTCGTCTGGGAATCGGACCGGCACACTGATTCAGTGAATTATGTTCACACCGGTTGACTGGCCCTCAAAGTAATAAAAAATCGATCATTGACCTTATGTAACCTGATGACACTTGGAAACGTGCTCAATTCTCTCTTTTTTATCGTCAGGCTCGCTGGAGGTAAACAACTTTTCGATATGTGGTACAATTAATTTTTTAAGACACAAAAAGCATATTTGACGAAAAACAAAAACAACTTGTGAGCGGTTATTGAAATACATTGACCGCTCCCAAGTTTTTCGTCAAATATTCTTTTTAATTGTGTCTTTAAAAAAATCAGTTGTACAACATATAAAAAAAAGAAAAAAAAATCCACCCGAGCCTGGCTTTAATATGTATTTATTGAAGTTAATAAAGCAATATTTTTTTACAACCTCATTTTTTCAGAAAATTTACTCAAATTTAACACAATGGTCAATCTATGTTGGTATATGCCTAGGTCTATCATTTGAAAGCAGACAGTATATCTTAAAGCTCATAGTTTCAACATTTTGTTGACAATTACAACTGTTTGATTTTTTTTAAGATCGACAGAAAGGAATGAAATATGTATATCAGGAAACTTAATAGGGTCAAATATTAAGTCAGTTGAAAGCGGCACAGCGCCCTCTTAAAGTTTAGTTCACCTTCACATTTTTATCATATTGTAGCCTATCGAAACTTCTAAAATAGAGTACTATTGCCTACTAGGCCTATATTTATGTAGTAAGTATAAGGAATTGCAAAATAAGGTCAATATTGGACATAATAGGAATCTACAACTAGAATCTACAACTAGTTTAACGTTAAAACGCGTTTTTAAAACAATCTAAAGTCCTGTCTAGGTTATAAATGTTCTTTGACGGGCAAACCATTGTATGCCCATAATTAGTCATCAGACCATATTTATTTATGTCACATGTTTTTTGTCAAATAAAATGAGATAGTCTGAACTGAAAAACGAAACTAGGCAGAAATTTACAGTAATGTTCTTTTCATAATATTTAACCTTAAAACTTTTTTGCTGTGTGCCTGGAGGAGGAATACATTCTGTTTAAGATTTTTGTAACTATTAGAAGGCAAACACACAATTTCCCTTATAGCTGTTTCTCCATCATTTCGGAAGGTGCCTTACCATATTACCGATACAGAGGCCATAAGCATGGTAAACTCCAGGAAGCGCACAAACCGTGTTTGCCCCAAAAGAGGACTAATTTTTGTACAAACTCAGTAAAAGACGTAATCTTTTGCCAAGAAAAAAAAATTGTCAACATTAAGAAATATAAAAAGTTATTTTTTAAATAAATAATGTGACTCTGGTGGCATCGTGGGTGTAAATATTTGACCAAGGCCACGAACTAACGATTTTTTAATGCCTTTTTGATTAAAGTGAACACCGATGCGAATATTTCATATTCTACGTTCATGTACTCCTACCTTCTGCGCTTCAAACACAGCCGCTCAATTTGGTGTGAAAATACACATTAGATTCCAGACCCAGAGTCTGCTGATCCACGTTGAAGATTCTACGCATCGTCTGTTTGTCAAAATGATAGTTGGCTTTATAGTTTCACGTTTTGAGCCACCATGCTGTGTTCACATTCATCTTATTTTGGCAGAATATCCAGTTGTGTCAAAGTGTTTAGATGTTTGAATTGATCACGTGGGGAGCCCCGGGGAGTTCTTTATTACACAAACATAGTGTGTTTCCTTTCGTGTAACGTTCTGTAAAATGAAATTGATACAAATCCTAAGTGTCATTTGTTTTACTATAGCAGGAATTTCAAAACTGATATGCATTCATTGCACGAATGGTGAACTAAAATAAACAACTCAATATTGATCTGGGGGCTTAACAGATAGGGGAATCCTAGTTTCAGCAGAAAAAAGTTCACCTTTCCCTCATTAAATTTTTAATATGTCACATGACATCTTTCGAATGTGTTTTTAATTAATTTTGCAATAGTGTTTCCTTGTTTTATCCAATCATGATTAATTGCAATAAAGATGAATTTGAATTTGATATGAATGAAGATGTATTAGAACGAAAGCCCATGTGCTGCTCAATGTAAAATGTTTTTTATATCGATTTGTTAATATTCATTCATGGCCTACACACTCCTAGAGATTAATGCCTGCTCTAATGCGAGGTACAGTACTCTTGTTTTTATTCAATGAGTTAAAAAAAAACAAGCCCAGACTAAGGACTTAAACTACAGAACTGTATGATAAGGGAGAAATGTGCGTCAAAGATTTATCCCATCAACTATGACATGCGAAAAAGTCTAATAATGATTAATAATTGTTTCGGACTTTGTAAGTTGAGTTGTAAACACAAATAAATCCAATTTATTGTAGTCTTAACCAAGGATATAAAATCCCGAATCAGCCTAATCCGGAGACCACCGACCATGCAATCCTATTCAAAGAGAATTAACTTTACATTGTGTTGAACGATGCCTACTTAACATGCAATAAAAACGTTTACCAATGAATAGTTAACATCAGACAAACATCGCTTCTCTTTTTCTTAGTTGAAAAGTCTACTCTCACTTCGAACTAAATAAATATCGTTTAAAATTTATGATTTCTATTAAGCATTCTTATGCCTATCGGTGTATTATATGCAGCAATTTATGCCCAAGTAAGTAATAGTTAATGGAGTACATCTTCATATCAACTCATATCTATTCTGCTTCAAAATTAATTATTTACCTATTGAAAAAAAAGGACTAGTACATAAGGTCTATTGGTTATTATTACTTATTCTTCGAGGATAAAACATTTGTGGTTTATTTTGTGGAATATGCTAGGGGCAAGTTTGTTATAATATAAGACACCGGTTATGAACACTCATATCGATTGTCCCATTCTTCTATTGTGGCCTTGTTAACTCGATAGCATTGAAAGAGAAACAGTTTTGCTAACAATTCTTTACGTGCATACGAATACTAGATTTTGATTAGAAGTAAAGAACGGGGACATCATACTTGTGCTCCATCTTATTAGCTATTGATATGTTACCCGTCGTAAATAGCAGCGTGGTAACACTTTACTTCTGTTATGAGACGTGGCCGAGTTAGGACTAAATTACTAATCTACGCTTCAGTTTTACCAAACTTTAAATTTTGGAAAATAACTTAGCAGTAATTCGCTTGTTGATATCTCGTCCGGTTGCAAAGTTGTATGCTATACATATTTTTTTTATCACTTCATTACATGTGAACTCATATGTTGATGTCTTATCATGAGGACTGTGTAAATGATGATGTTATTCAGGTATTTCTAGCAAATAAAACATTTTGATTATACTGACGTGAAATCTACACTTAAGCCGTGTGATCAGATTTTAGAAACTTGAGGCGGCGCAAAAACTGTTCAATCCTATGGCGAGAGAGCTGCAGTACTACAAGCAGCAAGCATATTTTTGGGTCATTTGCTTGGGAACAGGCAATATAACTAGAGATAGTCTAAAATCATTTGGATTTGCAAGAGTGATTTTGAATGAGGTCAGGTAAACACAATGGATATTCAGAAACAGTTACGCTCTATTATCAAGGATTTGGAGAATTCGTGTCAGTTTTATAGTAATGCCGAGACTGGGTGCAGAAGTAGTCCTACAAGAACAAGAAAACGTAAACCCAAGTTACAGGACCGAAAGAGGGTCCCGAACCTAAATTGTGGGGTATCTATATGTAGATCAGAACGAGGCCTGAGCAGCAACTTAAGTTTTGGAAAGCTTCAAGAACTTCGATGCAGAACGAAGTCTGCTTTGAATCTAATTAAACAAACATCTTTTACATTTGACGAGGTGGTAAGTTGCAACACCCAGCATAAGTATCAAGGCACAATGGAAAATATCAGTGTAGAGGACCGCCGAAAGTCTATCCCAGCAATTTTCATTGAGAAAGTAAAGACGACTCGTAGCAGGCGATCCACAATACATTCTTCAGAACAGCGGAGAAGATCAACTACAAAATATGTGGAAAAACGGAAAAATTCTTCACCATCATTTTCTAAACCTCAGAGCAGAAACGACGAGAATCGTATTAGTTTAACACCGTCGGTGGAAGCAGACAATTTTGTTAGCGACAGCAGCCAAGACGATGAGGTTCTTCCAGAACACTATTATGCCTCAAATATCATGGCGAAATTAAATGCTTCAACGAAACCCGAGAAGCCAAAACGGAAAATATCATTATTTCTAAGAAGACCCGTGATCTTTGATAGAAAGTGTGTTGCCGAGGAAGATACTGGCGAAAATCATCACTTGGAAATAGAAGCTAATCAGAGTAACAAATCGGATTCATACTTGAAAGGTAAGAGAGACAATTCTGTGGAAAACGTGTGATAGACTGCATTAAGCATAATCATCAACAAATTTTGATAACAGGTCTTGTTAATACAATTCTCATCGCTGCTCAACTTGTGTTTCAACTGGAGGGCTGAAATGCAAGTTACGAGAGTGCACCGTCTTTCGGATGAGACGTTTAAGCCATTGTTCCCGCGCACGTGCACGTTAAAAAAAACGCATTACACTATTCGGGAAAAATAGGGGATTGTCTCAATTTGCTCTGTTCAATCACCACCAGAAGGACCCCACTGGAAATAAGTTTTCTTCATAATTTCGTGTGTTATTCTTGGTGTCGACACTTAATAAATCCGTTCTATAACTGGTATAATTATTCTCATACATATCATAACTGAGTCGCATGGTCCATATAAACCGGGAGGAGTCATATTAGAAAATAACATGAGAAATTTACATCTATCATCAAACAGCTTATTCTCATCTAGATTATTTTCTGTTGAATTGTTTGTATCCCCCTTTTCGAGTTAATATAACAATACTGTACCCACTCGCTTGACTGATACTATTCTGCAACGTCATATTTGTCTGTAAAAGATTTATTACTTTGGTGAAAACATTAAAGAGTGTCAAATCCCAGGCAATTATACTTATATAAATCGTAAAATGGCAAGTTAAACCACATATAAGTGAAGCAATAATTTGTAAAGACCAGTGCAGTTTGTTCTCAGCACGGTTTATAATGGATTGCCTTGAATTTTCATGATTATAAGCCACAATACCTCAATATGTTGATGTACCATAATAGATTAGACTTTACAGACCTAATTTAGCATTTCTAATCATTTTCTTTCATACCACAAAACCCACGCCTAAATTGACATAGATATTATATATATATGTATATATATACATATACTTATATTTATACACATAACGTAAGGCCTATATATACATATAGGCATATATATAAATATATATAATATATATATATATATATATATATAATCATATATATGGTGATAAAAAAATGGGAACCTAGACATTAGAAGCATTGATATATTGAAAAGGAAGATATATATATATATATATATATATATATATATACTTATATTTATACACATACCGGTAGTGCCTATATATACATATAGGAATATATATAAATATATATATAATCATATATATATAATAAAATGGGAACTTAGACTTTAGAAGCATTGATATATTTGAAATGAAGATATATATATACTATATATATATATATACATATACTTATATTTATACACATAGTGCCTATATATACATATAGGCATATATATAAATATATATACAATCATATATATATATATAATCTTATATATGGTGATAAAAAAATGGGAACCTAGATTTTAGAAGCATTAATATATTTGAAATGAAGATGCTTCTGCTACTCTAGCCTTCACAAGCAATTCACAAAGAAATGCGAAAACAGTAAATTGTATAACAGTGTGCAGGCATATACATATCTAAACATCTTCTTACGAGTATATGCTCAATTATGTTTTTCCCATTTGTTTTTTCCGTGGATAGCTTTGGATATTAGAAGTATTAAATAGCATAAGAGTGATATCAAGGGAATAATTCGCACATAAAGCGAATGTTCGCACATAAACTGATCCCATGGAATATTTTACTACAATCCAACATACGCTATCCCGATACAGAAATATATACTATATGCAAACATTAATAATTTATTTTCCTTTATTGTAGATTGCGTCTTTATTTGAGTGTCGTATCACATTTATGTGCAAATTACGGTATTCTTCTGAAATCACACTTATGCTATATAATACTTAAAGTGCGGACTAACCATGATACAACAACTGACCTATGAACTGATTGTACACATGTTAAGTTCTCATTGATGCATAACGGTTTTATATGTCTAGTATTTACAATGTTATCATAGGCGTACATCAAGTTTGTTCTTTACGGTTGATTTAAGGTGTTTTTATAGGTTATCTTGAATATTGTCTCCCAATCATTACTGGTTTACAAAGAAAATAATAAAATAGACCTTTAGAAATTAATGCAATAAGGAAAACATGACTTTAATGACATAACATAATAGCGGCCTATCGGTAATAGGCTATCCTGTTTCGTTTCATGAAGCCGGTTACTAACTGCGTCGGACGAATGTCTTACGACCGTCGCACGACGAATCCAACTCCACTTCCTGTAAGCGCTAGACTACGCAACGCCGTCTGCTGATTGGCGGTGGCAGTCTGAAGGGATCGTCATTACAAACGTTCTGTTGAGCGCGCGTCGTTGCGTTGCGTTTTTTTCACAGGATCGCGTCGGCCAACGATCGTGTGTGCATTGAGTTACCGGCTTTTAACGTCAAACCAAGTTTTTGCAGAAAGAAATCACTATTTTAAAGTATTATGAAGTATCACTTATAGTATTGGTTTAGTGTTATGAAACATCTTTAGAAAGTAAGCTGAATACCAGCTTAACTTATCAACACAGTTGATATAGCAGCTGGAATGTAATTAAGTGTAGGTTAGCAACCCCGGTCCTAAATCGCCCGGAAATGGATTGTAGGCCTACTATTGTAGAATGGGGTGTACATGGAGTAATTTGTTTTGATGCTGCTCTACAATATTGGATTTAGACTATAAAATTGGAGGGTTTCTTGACTTGGTAGCATCTTTGGTTCGGACAAGTACTTGGTAGGATCTTTGCTTCGGAACCTGTATACTCATATAAAGTCGTGTTGTGTCTATATATGGTCATGACGTGTGATGTCATCATGACAATATTTTGGCATTTCGAATGCTTTTTGTCAAATCGAATTTTGGAGTCTGGACAGGACTTAAAGTTTAGTAGCCTATCATATAACAATATGGAGCTTTTGATTACACGACGATGGTAGGACGTAGAACGTAATGACCTCACTAAAAGTCATAAGCGCATGCGAGAACGTTAAGGTCAACTCGTCGAGTGGATTCTGGAACGCAATTTGGCCAAATCTCCGTACGGTATGTAGAGAACGTAGGACGCAAGGTAGGGCGGTCGCGCATGAGCGATTCCGTTCTTGCGTCGCGTCGTCGCTCAAATCGAAATCTTCCTAATATATCGTAAACTGTATCTTACTGGTCGGCGGGTCCGCCTTGATCGTTTGGATATTAATCAGTCCTTTTTCGCCTATTGTTGTATTTATTAATATAAGATTTCATATTCTTGAAGTGTCTAGCCTACTCTCACCTATCAAAGTCACAGATGGTTTAGTCAAAGCAGCCAGTAGTATTCTAAATTAAACATAGAAATACTATACTAAGTGTAAAGCAAGAAGTGAACACAATAATATTCTCGACAGGAGGCCTAACCTTGTGCGTGTAGCATTGTGCCAGCGTATTCCTATGAAATCCGTGATTCTCTACGGCATTCATATACATTAACGAGAAACTCCACTTTACATCCTTTGACTTAATGGCTTTGAAATTTTGTGGACTTTGACCTTGCTAGATTAAATCACGTGATTGGATATAAGGAATAATATTTTAGCAATTTTTTTTTGAAAAACATTTAATTTCATTCACATATGGATTTAATGTGTTGAATTTCAATTTTAGAATAATTTCTCGTAAGGTTTCGTTTCATTGTCCTTTATGGAGATGTGTGTTATTAGTATTACTGTATACTAAATTCTAAGGAATATAACTGACGCACTGTGTATCGAATTTAACATTTGTAAAACAATCAGGATATAGCTTTGAACTTCGACATAGACCCGCGCACTTCAAACTACGAAACGGCCAATGGCCCGTTCTGCACTAGGTCTAACAAAACGACTGCGTAAGCATACGTAAACATGTGTACTTGTGGAACGTGTGTGTGTTTCTGGCCCGTTCTGATTGGTCAGTTGCTCAGCCTAATTAACACTCCAATAAGGCCACTTGACTACTAAAGGAACGTAAATATTCACAGTTGTCTGCTATACGTTCCTCCATATTTATACATGGATAAAAAGTAATTAAAATCGTGTAAGGATGACGTAATGATAAAGCTCCATGGGCTCAGTCAATCGAAAGGTCGGTAGTCGAATCCATGGCTGGATCGTTTATTGCATCTTCACACGATGCACTTTAGCTACATATCTGTAAGTACAAAAGGGTATGACCTGTCTCTTATACACATCTAGATGTGTATAAGAGACAGGTATTATTATGTCCTTTATTCAAACCTTTATTTACCTTTCTTTGATGTATATATACAGTGCTATCGTGGAAAATAGCAAACTCAAAGCAGTTAAATTTTATTAGTAGTCCTGCTTTTGATAAAACTGAGAGAAATGAGTAAAGAAGGCATGTTGCAAGTGAACCGTTGCATCGCTTATATTGATTTAACAAGTTCAGCTCAATGACCGACTTGCTTCTTTGGTTAAAGACAGCTCGTAAAAGCATAATGCGTATATACTACACCGCACGTATTATAACGACAGCAACTCCGAAACCAGGTTGTTTGATTGCGTTGAAATTTCACCTTTAATTACACTCAAATATAATTCTAGTAACGCTATGCTTCATTTGAATTTAGCACAGGCATCGTGTTACCTGAAAGGGTAAAACACTTTCTATTTTTTTTTTATTATTATTACTTTACGCTTTCAGCTCTAGTAGTGGTGATTCTGGGAGTGGCTAAACGAGTGACCGCCCACTTCCCCTAGCATAATTGTACTTATTTTATAATATGCATGGAACCAACACTTATTGATGGATTAATCCTTTCATAGAGCAGTAATCTCGATACAGCAGATAGGCCTACTGCTAGCAATAACAATATTGTAAAGTCAATAAGTAATGATATCTATTAGTTTTATACATTGGAAAAGTATTGCTTCCGTAAAGCATCGCTATTTGCGCAACCATTCTATAAGAGTTTCAATAGACATAATTTAGAATTTGAATACCAATATGAGGGAGCTTTTGGTTGCACTACTACGGTAGGACGTAAAACGTAATGACA